GGGTGCGGGCCAGCTGTCCCTGCAAGGTCTGCATCTCCGCCTTCAGCGCTCCGTTCTCCTTGCAGCAAGTCTCGAGCTTCTTCTCGGCAGAAGCCAGTTGCCGATGCAAACCAACGCCTTCGACTTCCAATTTCTCCACGCGGCGTTCCTTCTCCTCGCATAATAATCTGCACAAACATCAGAATTTCAGTCAGACCTCTCGACATCGAACCCCCATAAATCGAAAATCTTTCCTAACTAGGAAAAAATATGTCCGGTGTCCCTGACCAAAGTCTCTTTAAAACGAAGTAACCGGAACCTCCTGAACTCGAATTTTTTGAAGACACGAAAGGACAGGGAAAAATTCAACTGGTAATGCTCACGGAATGAAAAATGAGCGATTTTAATTGATCTATAGAATCCAAGCTCGAGGTTTTGAGAGCATTTTCAAGGGCAGAAGGGAGCTACATTTTCCTTAAATTATCAACTCCTGGATTAAATGCATAGCACTTTCTTACGAAGGAACTGAGTGTTACATAAGTTGGGTCAAATTCATAGTAAGTGCGTTTATGTTGAAATTGTTCCAACATTTGGATGTGTTTGACGCCTTCACAAATAAAGGCTTAGTTTACCTTTAATTTCATGATTGAATCGAAGAAAATAACCGGAACCTTTCGTATACGATTCGCAGTTTTTTAGATGGACACCACTACATTTTTTCAAACTGTATCTGCCGTCCGAATTTCAACATTACAGTCGAACGTCTTCAACTCAGACCTCCCTGAATCAAAAACCTCCCCATACTGGATTTTTTTTCCATAACTTGTCCAGAATCCCTTCAAAACAATTTAGCCTGGACATCAGTAACTTGAAATGTTTCAACAGTGAACCTCTTCAACTAGGAATTTTTGAAGACAAAATCCAACAGAAAATACAGATTTTAATGCTTTACGTAAGAGAAAATTGAGCAACTTCAACTGCTCCAAAAAATCCCGGCTTGAGGTTCTGCATCCTGTGGACTAATTTAAACCCGCAGTTTTCTGAGGCTAGTCTTTTTCATGTGGTGGGAAGAATTAAGGAAATGCTTTTAGACCCGCTGCACAGTTCCAGCGGAAATTCCAGCCCCATTCACTCATTCTACAATGTTCAGCAAGCATTTCCAAACCTAGTTTCCCAAACTCGAAACCTCTAAGAGTTTAAGTTTTGCTGCTCAGTCACTACAATTTGTCACTACAAATTCGACTTGGCGAGGACAGAATACAAAAATAATCATTGGAGAGAAAATCAACAAGGGAGCCGTAGGCAATTCCATACTTCAACTGGTTTGCAGCTGCTCGCTGCTGACTCAGCTCCGTGCGAGTGATGGTCAGTTCCCGCTGCAGGGACATGACCTGATCGCGGAAGTTGTTTGTCATGGATTTCTGCGAAGCTTCTCGAGATAAAATCTCTCCGTGATTTCGTTCGAGGGAAGCAATTTTCAGCTTCAAGGCCTCCGTCTGGTTCTGCGACTGCATCCTTTCTGTCCTGGCAGCATCAGAGGCAACCTTCACCAGAAAAATACGAGAAGGTTGAGTTGAGGGTTTTTAGAGTATTCTAGGCAAACGAAGCTCATTTGTAGAATTGTTACTGTTCGATTTTGCACACTTTCATTCCAGGACAAGACATTTCGGTCGCCTTAGGTGAGCTAGCAATAAATCGAGGCTTCCCATTTACACATCCCTTAATGTAGGGAAATGTGTGGCATTATGCGAGGGTGGCATCAGATAATTTGAGAAAAATTCGGCTCATCACCTTGAGACGGTCGCGCAATCGGTCTCGGTCCAATTTCAAAGCAGTCACTTCGGTTTGCAAATTTTGCTTTTCACGCTCCAGACGCTTGATCATCGCTTGTGTGGCAATGGAAGGCGGACCGCTTTCGGTCGCAATTTTGTATTGAATTCGGTTGTCCTCCTCCAGCCTCTCGTTGGCTTTCTTTTGTCGCTCGAGGTCAGAAAGTAAAGTGTCATTCAAAAACTGAAAAAAATTACGATGTGCAATCAAAACGAAACACACAACTGGAGTAGGGAATTTCCGCGATGAACAACCTTCATATCAAATTTCTCTTGTCGTAGAGAGTCACGTTCTCTTTGGCACGCATTCAACTCTTCCTTCAAGGCATCGATCATGGCTTTGGCATCGTCCAAGTCGGCTCGAAAACGACCAGAGGTCTGGAAAATAGAATTGGGCAATACAGTAACTTTTACCAGAGTGAGGGCAACTGAGATCAATCCACTCACAGGAATAATTTCGTCACACCAGGCAACGTTCTTGCTCGGCACGCCTGCATAACTCCTGCCAGTGTGCGACTCGAAGTTCCTTTCGCTCCCCTTCATTTCCCCTCGCATATTTTCCTGTAATCGAAACATTGCTTGATTACGACGCACTGTACTTATCGTATTGGTAACCAAAAATGTACTGTGCAATGGTGAAGACAAAGCGTCAACTTTTTTCTTCAAATCTGGATTGAAACCCGCGCAGGATATGGTACCAATTTAATTCAATATGCGGCTCATTATCCCACCAAATTACACCAATCCAATAACTAAATTCATTTTGGAGCAGATCTTTCCCACAGAGGAAATGGGCCGAGTATAGAAATTCAGTCAATTACCATGTGCACTGGGGTTTTCAGTTGAATACTTTGAACGAACTGAATCTCAGTAAGATATGCACCCCATTTTAGTGACTCTAAAATGGCGATATTTCAGAATTAAGAACAGCCAGATTGGACTTCAAAAACAAATCGAACCCGAATTCAACTACCGAATTTACTTGAGTACAAGCACCCTTGAGNTTTATCCTGAATTCAATGAATTTTCAATTATTCCTTTTACAGAATTTGTTTTCTGTTCAAAGCGTTTTCCCATTGGATTAGATCCAAAATTTCCCGTTGAAATAAAATATTGTACAATGCAAACCGTACTTGAAATTTTTTTGAAACATGTATACCCGTACCAAGCACCCTCACGTAAGAAACGCACCCAGGTTTTTCCGTTGGAAGTTCGGATAAATTTGTAACCCAAAAGTAAGACGCGCACCCCATTCCAGGGACAATTATGGCAGTACAAAATTTCAAAAATAAGAACACTCCAAACTGACGTGAATGGAGTTGAAATTAACTAATTCTCAATTGTTTCCATCAAAATCAGTTTTTCTATTTAACTTTCCCCCGTTGTTCATGTTAGAATCAAATATAAAGCACATCTAAATTTCTACGACTTTTTCTTTATAATTTATACCAGCAGTCCCCTTTTTTTCCTCTCAAATTTGAGCAAAAAAAGGTGAGCATGGTACTCAAGTAAATACTGCATGGTATTTGGAATCTCCCACTGCACAGAAAATTTTCGTTTCCACCATTTCATTTTGCAACTGCAACAAGCTCGAAAAATGCTACTCAAAAAGCTACTGTACAGCCCAAGCTTTTCTATTCGCAAACGAGCAACCACATTTTTAAAGACAAGAGGCGAGAAACAGAAATGAGTAAAACTGTGAAGAGAGGACGGCGGCCCAACCGAGACTGTTTCCTTCATGTCATGGTCTCTGCAAACGTTGTGATGGACACTTAGACAATAGGCTACCAGTGACCTTCGCGATGTAGCTATCAGTTTCGGTCTCAGTCGTCAACGTAATCCCCTTCGTGCTCCTCCCCTTTGCTCTCGTCTACCAAGCCGTCGATTAGCTAATCGTTCGGTACTTTCAAGTACCGACGGTTTCGTGGCAGAACTTGATCCACCTGTGACAATCGTCTGCTCGCCCCCGACCGCCTGCGTCCGAACGGCTGGCGTGTCACGCGGAATCGTCGTCGTCTATCGCAACAAAATTAAAACCATTCAAAATTATTAATGGAGTTGAACCTTGATAACTCGAACCTCCCCACGTCGATCTTCTTTCATTTTTAATCCCTGCCTTTATTTCCTCGGACACATGCATAAAAAAGAAGGCTTTCTTTCTCTAACCCCCATAACTCGAATTTTCCACGATAACCTTATCGCTCTGCCACTGGAAAAGCTCAGTGAAAAGCACTCCAACCAGCGAAAATCCTAGAAACCTTGAGTAAAAAATCTTTGGAATTTAGCAAACAAGCACAAGTCGAATTTCCCTTTCTCCTCAGATTCAATGCGAAGACGCACTCGTTACGCCAATGGAATGAAAAATTCGGAGAAGTGTTGCATGGTGAAAATCACAGCAAAAATTTTTCAGTCAACTCTAACCACAGTTGAACCTCAATAACTCGAATCTATGTACGTCGATTTTTTTTACAGTCCCTGTCTCAAATCTCTTAAAAACAATCATCAAAAAGCACCGCATCTTGAAGGATTTCCTTTTCGAACCTTTATAACTCGAATGTTCCGGAGGCCTTTTGGATAATATTTATTTATTGATACAGTTCAGGAAAACGAAAATCAATGCAAATGTAAGGTGATGCGTTTCGATAAGTGAAAGACTATTCGAGCAAATGAAGCCTTGCCTCCAAAATCAGCATCATATCAACTAACTTAAGGCCAAGAATATCACCAATCACAGATTCCTCGTCATTTTTTTTTCCTTACCCCAACAAAAATTAAATTTGTATCCAACTCGAAACCTCAGTGACTCAAATTTTTATGCTAGTCCCGTGAAGTTCGACTGCTCAATTTCAAGAAAGGAAACTCACCAAAGACGAGACAGGAATCGATCGACCAGACTTGGAAACCTCAATGTTGGTCGTCACAGTGAACCCACTGAACGGGTGCTTTGTCGTAGAGCGCATAACGTTGGGTCGGGTCTCTTGCTCCACCGGCGAGTATCTATCCTTGGTTTTTGCCTCACTCTACAAAACAAAAAAAACAAAATGAACCCTGAGAAAGCTACCTTTTGTAAATAGGGGGTCCCGATATGCGAACGCAATCGGTGCTTGAACCTTGTCCCTGCGTCGGATCATTAGTAAGTTGAAACATGTTTTCCCATAGACATTAATGGGACATATTCAACTGATTCTCCTACTCATCAGAAATAAGGAATGGAATTCTTGCCAAAATTGGATAAAAATTGTTTCTCGTCAACTTCAAGACCAAGTTAACAACACTGCAAAAGAAAATCACAACGAATCTAATGTTGGAATCAAATGTAGCTCAAGAAGCAAGGAACAAGAATAAGTCCAACTATACTCAGCGAACAATGGAAAAAACTCAGAAAAAAAAACGCACGAAATTAACCTGTTTTTCGATAATGGATTAGGGTAATTTTAAAAGGAAATTTATTTTCGATTTGTTCGAATATTATTTGCATTTCCTGCTCGATTTGTTCAAGAGATATTGTATCAAGATTTAGAGAACCAAATTCTTTTTCTCTAAAAATGTAAACCACCCGAAATTGGATTCAGACATGCGTTGATCCTGAATTGAACGAATTTTTAATCATTTCCATAACACAAGTTGTGTTCACTCTAATATAATACATATTATATTACATATATGATACATTTTCCCGTAAAAATTTGTTACAAATTTCCCGTTAAAATCGAATACGATGGAAACCTGTAGTTGCAATTTTTTTTTTTTTCAAGTTTACACCCGTCTATGCCGCGCACCCTGTTTTTTTCTCTTTCGAGAAAAAAGGTGCGCGCGGTATTCGAGTAAATACGGGTATATTTGCTTTGTTTTCTTCAAGTGTCCCTAAGACGAATCTTCCGTAGTTCGGGGCCCCAACTGTACATTCCTTCGAACTCACCAGAGGAACAACACCGTTGACGGGTGACCCAGCTCCTGGAAGCCCAAGCATTCGTCGCAAACGGTCTCGTTCCGCTTGCAGTTGCGTGTTTTCGTACCTCAAACTCGTGACCTCGCGTTTGAGTC